GAGGTAAATGCATTTTCAACATCATAACAGAAGGTAGTTAAAAATTCTACCAAAACACTCCCGATGAACAAGGCTGTGATGATCACGTTCGAGTGCCCGTTGAAGTACCAAGAGTCTCGCTGATCAAACTCAACCAGCACACCAGGTTTTAAATCGGGAAGCAGGGGCGATGACCCCCTGGAACCCAAAAGATGGAACAAGTACAAGCATCTTTAAAATCACCTCAACTTGTTGATAAGTTTGTGAGGCAAAAGAATGAACAGAGTTGGTGGGGTAAAACACTTAAGATTTTGTTCTATACATCGAAATTTTCGCAAAACAGCTATCGTAAATAGTATGGGGGAGGGGAGGAGAGAGAGAGAGAGAGAGGAGAAAAAGAGAGAGAGAAAGGAGGCGTATTTGGCAAAAAATAAAAATAACGAGATTAGAGGAAAAGAGAAGGCTGAAAGGGAAGATAGACATGGGAATGGAAAATGGAAATACAGAAAGAGGAATAGAATGAAAGAGGAACTGAAATAAAAACGGAGAAAGAACAAGAGTAAGTTAGCTCACATCTGAAAAATGGGACGTGGAATAGAAAGGTAAGAAAGAGGGGAAATAAAAGTTGGAAAACTATACAAATTACTGCCAGAAGAAAAAATATAACGAATTAAAAATCGAACTAAAAACAGATATGAAAAAGCGTAAAGAAAAACGTTAACAGCTGTAATGGATTTGAAGTTGTGTGTGTGTGTAGAGAGAGAGAGAGAGAGAGAGATAGAGAGAGTTGAATTATCCTTCATTCGTTTCAATTGTTTATTGTCAAGCTAATGTTTTCATTTAAAATAAGTTCATCTTTATATAAATATTTCTGCTCTTCTATTTGTCTTTCATTCTCTTTTTTTCTGTCTGTCGTCTCTCTCTCTCTCTCTCTCTCTCTCTCTCTCTCTTCTCTCTTCTCTCTCTTCTCTCTCTCTCTCTCTCTCTCTCTCTCCCCTCTCTCTTTTCTCTTCTCTCTCTCTCAAAACATGTCTCCCTTCACTTGCCCTGGTCAACTCTCCCTATCCTATTAACCTCACCCCTCACCAAAACCCCACCTCAACCTCCCAAGGGAGAATCATCAACGTGTAACTCCCCTTCTCCCTCACTCCCCGCACACCTTTTCTCCTCTCTCTCTCTCCCTCTTCTCCTACACCCCTCTTTCACGTTGCTACCTATTTCGCACTGCTTTCTCTTTTTCCCTCTCTTCCATTCTCCTTTTCCTCTCCCTGATTCGATTCCCCATTTCCCTATCCTACAATGCTCCTTCTTTCTCCTCCTCTCTCCAACATTTCCCCCTTGCACTTTGTTTCCTCTCCCTCCCCTCTCTCCACACTCAGATTTCACCCTCTTGCTACCACACACTACTATCAGCTTTCGAAAACAGTCTTCTGTGTGTGTGTGTGTGTGTGTGTGTGTGTGTGTGTGTGTGTGTGTGTGTGTGTGTGTGTGTGTGTGATCACCTGATTGTGGTTGCAGGGGTCGAGTCACAGCTCCTGGCCCCGCCTCTTCACTGGTCTCTACTAGGTTTCACTTCCTGCTTCAGGTCACTCTCCCTGTACCTTGAGCTTTATCATACCTCTTCTTAAAGCTATGTATGGATCCTGCCTCCACTACATCACTTCCCAGACTATACCACTTCCTGACAAGTCTGTGACTGAAGAAATAGTTCCTAACATCCCTGTGATTCATCTGAGTCTTCAGCTGCCAATTGTTACCCCTTGTTACTGTGTCCCATCTCTGGAACATTCTGTCTCTGTCCACCTTTTCAATTCCTCTCAGTACTTTATATGTCGTTATCATGTCCCCCCTATCTCTCTTGTCTTCCAGTGTCGTCAGACGATTTCCCTTAACCTCTCCTCGTAGGACATGTCCCTTAGCTCTGGAACTAGTCTTGTTGCAAACCTTTGCACTTTCTCTAATTTCTTGACGTGACCAGGTGTGGGTTCCAAACTGGTGCTGCATACTCTGATATGGGCCTGACGCACACAGTGTACAGAGTCTTGAATGATTCCTTACTGACGAGTCAGAACACTATTCCTAGGTTTGAGAGGCGCCCATATGCTGCAGCAGTTATCTGGTTGATGTGCGCCTCAGGAAATGTGCTCGGTATTATACTCACACCAAAATCCTTTTCCCTTTCCTCATCGATTTGATTCTCCTCATTAACTTCACATCATCTTCAAAGAGGGATACTTTTAAGTCTATCCCTTCCGTCATGTCATTCACATATACCAAAAACATTACTGGTCCTAGAACTGACCCCTGTTCAACCCCGCTCGTCACAGGCACCCAGTCTGACACCTCATCACGTACCATGACTCGTTGTTGCCTCCCTGTCAAGTATTCTCTGATCCATTGCAGTGCCCTTCCTGTTATGCATGCCTGATCCTGTAGCTTTTGCACTAATCTCTTGTGAGGAACTGTGTTGAAGGCCTTCTTGCAGTCCAAGAAAATGCAATCTACCCACCCCTCTCTCTTGTGTCTTACTTCCGTTACTTTGTCATAAAACTGCAGTAAGTTTGTGACACGTAATTTCCCTTCCTTGAAATAGTTAGGGTTGTCATTTATAAGCTTGTTCCACAACTCTCCTCCTGATAATCCTCTCTATGACTTTGCATACTGTAGATGTCAGTGACACTGGTCTGCAGTTTAATACCTCATATCTGTCTCCTTTCTTAAAAATTAGGACTACACTGTCGTCGTCCATATCTCGGGTAGTTATTCATTTTCAATGGATGTGTTGAAGATTGTTGTTAATGGTACACACAGCGTCTCAGCTCCCTCTTTAAGGACCCACGGAGAGATGTTGTCCGGTCCCGTGGCCTTTGAGGTACCCAGTCCACGTAGTAGCTTCTTCACCTCCTCCTCAGTTGTGTGTATTTCATCCAGCACTTGTTGGTATATCGCTTGTTGGCGTACGCCCCTATTTTTAACTTCCCGGAGTCTTTTCTGTCTCCACTGTAAATACTTCTTTAAATCTCATGTTGAGCTCCTCGCATACTTCTTGGTCGTTTCTTGTGAGTTTCTCCACCTTCCTTCCTCAACCTGATTACCTGGTCCTTGACTGTTGTTCTCTCCTGATGTGGCTATGAAACAGTGTGTGTGTTCTTGGGTGGGTGAGTTGTGTGTGTGGGTGTGTGTTTTTGTGTGTGTGTGTGTGTGTGTGTGTGTGTGTGTGTGTGTGTGTGTGTGTGTGTGTGTGTGTGTGTGCGTGTGTGTGTGGGTGTGGGTGTGCGTGTGTATGTGTGAGGAATAAAGGCAAAGCTTTTATTGACCCACTGTTTCGCTTTGTGTAGAGTGAAATGTCTGAATACTAGCTTGGTCTCTTTCTTCTATATATCTTTTTTTTGTTTTATGCATGAGGGTGAGTCGCCTTTCCATGCAAACTCTCTTACGTCATACTAAGTTCAACAAGGATGCTAAATTCAGTAGATTTTTTCATTCTCGAAAAAACATGTATTTATTTACAACAGTTCTCTTGTTGGTAATTTCGTATGTATGTATAGTGTTCGAACGTACCGGACCTTGAACAAACTGGAGTCCGGACAGTTTTGTACAGGGAAAGTTGACCGGTCTTTGAACGTTTTTCTGGAGTCCGAAAACACTGGCTCGTTTACAATTCATTTGCAAAAAAACTACAGGAAAGCCCTATTTCAACAGTGACCTTTTACACTGACCTAACTGTCAGAAACTTTTGGAAGAGTCCGTTCATCATCCTCCAGTGTATGTGGCTGATTAAAGCCTGAGAACTTTCTGCAGTTCGAACACCACCTTGGAAGAAATTAAGTTCAAACTCCGAGGTTCCACTGTATATATTACGAGTACCCATAAATATGGGTGAAACTTTTAATCCTATTAATTCTGGTCCAAGTACGAATCTGGGTTTGGAGACTGGTTGATTTGAGGAATGAATGTCGGCTGTATGAAATAAAACTCATTTTATTTCATACATAGATACTGTCTCTCTCTGTTTCTCTCTCTCTTTCTCTATCTCTCTTTCGATGGATCTCAGCAATACTTTCAAGATATTAGATATACGATCTCATTAGTGTGGTATTATGTGGATGTAAGATTTATTACTCGCCAGGATATATTATTTTGCCGTCATTGCGCATGTCTGGTACTTGTGACTTACGTGTGGCTAGTTTTGAGGGTTCTTATATTCTCATAGCCTGTTCGGAAGGTCAACCAGGCTGTTTTTGTTAGTTTCTAGCATGTTTACATAGGCATCGCAACCTGGTTAATCTGGCACATTTCGGACGTTATATTGTAGTTTATGATCGTGTACTCGTTGTTGTACTTGCTTAGTTAACTTTCTAGTGTCGAGTTATAGCTCCTGGTCCCTTTTCTCTAATTTTTATGGACTGGCTTTTCTGATATCTGACCTACAGAGCCCGATCATACCTACTCTAGAGACTGTGTATATTATTTGAGTCCATCACTTCTTCATTATCCAGAGATTATTAAAGAAATATTTTAAAATTCCCCGGAGGCTGCCATCTATGTCCAGATGCGTCTTCCTTGTGGCTGCCATCTATGTCCAGATGCGTCTTCCTTGTGGCTGCCATCTATGTCAGATGCGTCTTCCTTGTGGCTGCCATCTATGTCAGATTCGTCTTCCTTGTGGCTGCCATCTATGTCCAGATGCGTCTTCCTTGTGGCTGCCATCTATGTCCAGATGCGTCTTCCTTGTGGCTGCCATCTATGTCCAGATGCGTCTTCCTTGTGGCTGCCATCTATGTCCAGATGCGTCTTCCTTGTGGCTGCCATCTATGTCCAGATGCGTCTTCCTTGTGGCTGCCATCTATGTGTCCTGGCTCTTCTTTGCATCTTCCTTGTGGCAGAATAATAATAATATTATTGTTTATTAGCCATGTTTATAATCGCGTTAAAAATATGGAGAGTATAACCAGCATCATTAATGTCATAAACCAGTTATGTTTTTTTTTAATTCCTTTCTCCCTGTTTTTTACCCACAGTTCTGCGTGACGACTTCCGCAGCTCCCCGAGCGGCGCGAGGGTGGTGGCTGGGGAGAGAGCAGTGCTCGAGTGCTACCCTCCCAAAGGGCATCCTGAACCACTGGTCTCCTGGACTAAGGACGGTCACACTCTCGTCCTTGATGACAGGTGAGACGAAGTACATGTGTACACGCACGCACACACACACACAACAAACCACACCACACACACACACACACACACACACACACACACACACACACACACACACACACACACACACACACACACACACCACTTCTCTTTTTCCTGTTTCTGCTCCTTCGATTGCTCCCTTTGTCATCTCCTCCCTTATGCCCAGCTTCTCCTCATCAACTGTACTTCATTCCCTACCTTCATATGCCCTCCCCATACCCGATATTCTCTTTCCTTATCCCTATATTCTTATACCCTCCCCTATTCTTATACCCTCCCCCCATATTCTCTTCACACCTGCTCTTTGTTTTTCTTCCTCCCCTTTCAAACAAACCTTCTAGTGTCTCGTGTGTTAGTTACTCCTCTGCCTGCTTCCTCCCTATTCTTCGTCCCTTCACCTGCACTCTCACATTTTAAATCTGTTCCTGCTCCCCTTCTACCCTTCTTGTGTGTCTCTCTGTCTCTCTCTCTATCCCCCCTTCTCCTCGTCTCTATTCCTGCATACTTCTACGTCCCTTCTCACCCTCACCCCTCTCCTTCTCCACTCTCCCTCATCCCTCTCCCTCATCCCTTTCCCTCACCCTCATCTCTCAGGCCTCAGCACAACTCAAACTTCAAACTCCGTTATGTTTACTTAGTATTTACGCACCAGTGTGTGCTGGCCTCAGTGTTAATTACTGACCTTAATGGCTTTACAGTAGGCCTGCGCTACCCCAGCCTACCTCTATGATGGCCTGCGCTACCCCAGCCTACCTCTATGGTGGCCCGCGCTATCTCTGTCTACCTCCATAGTGGCCTGTGCTACCCCACCTTAACCTCCATGGTGGCCTGTGCTATTCCAGCCTACCTCCATGTCCACTATACTCAAATTTAAAAAAAATATGTACATTTCTCTCTCTCTCTCTCTCTTTTTTTTTTTTTTTTTTTTTTTTTTTTTTTATTACACATGGTTTGACAAGGTTAAGGATCCCTAGCTTTATTGACAAGCTATTTACAGGTTAAGGATTCCTAACTTTATTGACAAGCTAAGAGCTGTTACCTACATCAGCTCATTTGAAAGCATTTTTATTGTTATGAGACATACAAGTAGGGAACAGGATGAAGTTGGAGCCATCTGTGGGCCAGCATTTTCATTTGATCAACTGACGTTATCTCGTTGACATCATTATGCTGAACGAATGTGTTCCATACTCGAGTCATCCTGGGTATGTATGATCTCAGATGGAGTGATGTTCTGGAGAAGGGTACAGCCAGAGTGAAGTTGCTGCTTTCTGCCCGTCTTGTGGCATAAAAGCTTGTTTCGCGCTGTCCTCGAAGTGGATCCAAGTGTGGTATTTTGACAATATTGGCCTTGTACATAACAGTAAGGCCACCCACATCCCTCCTATGTTGAAGGCTCTGCTGAAATGACAGATCCATCCAGGATGGGTCCAGGCGAGAGATGAGACGCCTTGCTCTGTTCTCTACTCTGTCAAGCAGTCGCAGATGAGAGGGGGGACAGGCAAACCAAGAAAGTGGAGCATACTCAAGGTGTGAGCGTACTTGTGCCTCGTACAGTATCTTGCAACCCCTACTGTCAAGCAGATGCGAGATACGGCGAAGTGCTGTAAGCTTCCTGGCTGCCTTGTTTGCAAGATTTACAACATGGTTCTTCATGGTTAGTTTGGAGTCAAATTTCCACCCCAAGGATATCAACTTCTTCTCCAGGTGCCAACGTCCTCCCATTCATCCTTACTACTGCACCAGCATTACCATCATGGTGCCTAGAGACGATCATCATTTGCGTTTTCTCAGGTGCAAATGTTACTTGCCATCTATTTCCCCAAGCTGATATAGCTCTCAGCTGGTGATTGATGTAGCTTAGAGCAGCTGGCATTTCTTCTCTTGGATAAGTGAATGTCAGTGTACAGTCGTCTGCATATGCATGTGATTCTGGGATGAGATGAAGAAGGTCGTTGAAGTAGACATTCCATAACAGTGGACCAGCACACTTCCTTGTGGAACGCTTGCCCCAATAGGATGTCTTGCTGATTCCGTTCCATTGAGGACTACACTTAGAGATCTACCATGAAGGTAATCACTGAGGAGACATAGCGTAGAGCCTGCAATTCCCAGTGCTTGAAGTTTTGCTAAGAGGCCCTGGTGCCACACCCGGTCGAAAGCGCCAGCAATGTCCAGTGCTACCACACAGCTGACTTTGGATTCATCCAGTGACTGGTGCCACTTAGTGGAGAGGTTTAACAACAGATCAGCAGCAGAGTAACCTTTCCTGAAGCCATATTGACGATCACAAAGTAGTGAGTGGTAGTCAAAAAAATCTGTCATTTGTCTTGAGATTATTGTCTCAAGGATCTTACCAGTGATTGACAGGAGTGACACTGGTCTGTAGTTGCTGATTTCTGCTCTGCTCTTCTTTTTGTGAACAGGGACTACATTTGCCTCTTTCCATGGAGAGGGCCATTTGCACTGTACTAGGCAGTGCTGAAAGATGCGAGTTAGAGGTGCTGCTAGCTGGTCTGCACATCTTCTCAACAATCTTGGGCTCAACTTGTCTGGGCCACAGCCTTTTCTTGGTCAAGTGATTTAAGAAGGAAATGCACCTCCTCCTGCCTTATTGTCACCCCTGACAGTTTTGATACAGTTCTTGCAGCTAGCCAAGGAGGGTCCCTTGCTGGATCAGGAACTTGCATTTTGGTAGCAAAGTGTTCAGCAAAGAGGTCCGCTTTCTCTTGACTACTAGTAGAGGTGGTCCCACTCTCTCTCTCTCTCTCTCTCTCTCTCTCTCTCTCTCTCTCTCTCTCTCTCTCTCTCTCTCTCTCTCTCTCTCTCTCTCTCTCTCTCTCTCTCTCTCTCTCTCTCTTTCGTCCCTGCTCGATTCTTTTTCCTTTCTTTCTTGTACTGTCCATCCTTAAATCTCTGTCGGTCTATTCCATTCCACTATCCCATCTCCTTTTTGTCTCTCTTCCCCAAGGTTTTCCATCCTATTACCTCCCTTCCCCTTCCTCGCCACCCTTCTCAATTCTCACTCCCCTCTTTCTCTCCCTCCCTCCTGTTTACCCAGCATTTCAAACGCTCTAAATGTTCCTAACAGGTTGCAGTGACGCATCAACATGGCCAGACATGTTCAGTCATTCTGAGACATGTTCAGCCATTTTTATGCATTGTTTTTACACACGTCCAGGTATGTTTATATATGTTCAGACATGTTTATGCGTGTTCAGATATATTCAGAAATATCTAGTCTTGTATAGTAATATTCAAACACGTCTAGACTTGTATAGTCATATTCAAACATGTCTAGACTTGTATAGTCATACTTAGGCATGCTCAGGAATATCCAGATTTGTATAGCCATATTCAGACGTGTTTGCCTCATGTTTTGTATCGTTCCAGCCAGGTTAAATCGTAACAAAATGGGTCAGACAGTAATTTTTTTTATTAGTTTTTGACTTATGATATGTTTGGGGTAGCGATAAACCCACAAGCACTACACACCTCACCTGGAATTTGTGATAATCAACTCTGATCCGAAGAACAGGAGAACACTGTTTATTTTCTTTTTTAATGCAGCTGGTGTAAATGTTCAGCTTAATCCGTTTCCTATCGTTTCCTGTCGTTTCGCTCATTATTTCATAAAATTTGTACCATTTTTTTTATATTGTCTTCAAGGTGTTTCTAGTGACTTTTATTGCTGTGTTCCAGTGAGGGTGTTTCCAGTATCTTTTATTACTGTCTTCCAGTGAGTGTTTCCATACCTTTTATTGCTGTCTTCCAGTAAGGATGTTTTCAGTATCTTTCATTACTGTCTTCCAGTAAGTGTTTCAATATCTTTCATTACTGTCTTCCAGTAAGTGTTTCAATACCTTTCATTACTGTCTTCCAGTAAGTGTTTCAATACCTTTCATTACTGTCTTCCAGTAAGTGTTTCAGTATCTTTCATTACTGTCTTCCAGTAAGTGTTTCAGTATCTTTCATTACTGTCTTCCAGTAAGTGTTTCAATATCTTTCATTACTGTCTTCCAGTAAGTGTTTCAGTATCTTTCATTACTGTCTTCCAGTAAGTGTTTCAATACCTTTCATTACTGTCTTCCAGTAAGTGTTTCAGTATCTTTCATTACTGTCTTCCAGTAAGTGTTTCAGTATCTTTCATTACTGTCTTCCAGTAAGTGTTTCAATATCTTTCATTACTGTCTTCCAGTAAGTGTTTCAGTATCTTTCATTACTGTCTTCCAGTAAGTGTTTCAATATCTTTCATTACTGTCTTCCAGTAAGTGTTTCAATATCTTTCATTACTGTCTTCCAGTAAGTGTTTCAGTATCTTTCATTACTGTCTTCCAGTAAGTGTTTCAATATCTTTCATTACTGTCTTCCAGTAAGTGTTTCAATATCTTTCATTACTGTCTTCCAGTAAGTGTTTCAGTATCTTTCATTACTGTCTTCCAGTAAGTGTTTCAATATCTTTCATTACTGTCTTCCAGTAAGTGTTTCAATATCTTTCATTACTGTCTTCCAGTAAGTGTTTCAATATCTTTCATTACTGTCTTCCAGTAAGTGTTTCAGTATCTTTCATTACTGTCTTCCAGTAAGTGTTTCAATATCTTTCATTACTGTCTTCCAGTAAGTGTTTCAATATCTTTCATTACTGTCTTCCAGTAAGTGTTTCAGTATCTTTCATTACTGTCTTCCAGTAAGTGTTTCATATCTTTCATTACTGTCTTCCAGTAAGTGTTTCAATATCTTTCATTACTGTCTTCCAGTAAGTGTTTCAATATCTTTCATTACTGTCTTCCAGTAAGTGTTTCAGTATCTTTCATTACTGTCTTCCAGTAAGTGTTTCAATATCTTTCATTACTGTCTTCCAGTAAGTGTTTCAATATCTTTCATTACTGTCTTCCAGTAAGTGTTTCAATATCTTTCATTACTGTCTTCCAGTAAGTGTTTCAATATCTTTCATTACTGTCTTCCAGTAAGTG